TGATATCCTTACAAAATGACAAATCTAAATGTAACACAAATCTTTTATAATCACATGATGTTTAACTTATCAAAAAATTTTTTAACAATTCAAGTTTTTTATTTTAAAACAATATATAAATATAATTCTTTATCTTAATTTTGGTATCAAATAATATAGAATTCTTTTAGTTTTAATTGTTACTAAAATTAGAATTCAGCCTGAATTATAAATAAAACCCTAATCTAATGTATAATATTATGTAAAATAAGTTAATTAAGTGTAAAGTGTAAAGTGCCTTTTTACATATTATTAAATATCTTATTTTACATATATATACTGTAACATTACTTAAATTGTACTAACCATCAAGCTTCATTTCTTGTTAATTATTCTAAATGTAATCAATAGTTCTTTTGTTTATTACTGATAATACATAGTATGTAATCATTTAAATTCTTTAAACAAAATATTCTTACACATAGAGATTGGAACCCGTTATTCGTTTAATAGTATTATCAGTATTTTGAATCAGTATTAGAAGACATATCAATTGATTTTGAAAATAAAGGTTATGATTTGCCACCATTAGATAATTTACTAAATTATTATTAATGAACTTAATTACACTGCAGACATAGAAGCTGGTAAGCTTTATATTCAAAAATAATTATATCTAGGGTAGTGTTCATTTTAAGCTTAATATATGATTTGATTTAAAAGCCTTTTTAGCTATTAGTATTTTTTAAAGTCTTTATTAAGTAGTTTGGCTAGGCAGTTTTAAACTAATTAACATTCTTATTAAAGATAATTAAAATAATAAATGATTTTATCAACAAATAGATCAGTGATAAATGATTTTAGGTGATATTCTAAAAGATTGACAATATTTTTGTGATAGATCTTTCCAGTAAATGCCACTCGTTCTCTAAAGTGCTATCATATATTTTTTTTGATAGTTTTAACTTATCTCTTCAATCTTTTTTGATGTTTACCCTCCGTTTGTAAATATGAAAAAGATTTTTTACATGATTTATAGAGATTGAGCAGTCACAAATGTATTCCATTATATCGTTGGGTTTGTGATATAGTTCATATTCAACTAAATAACTTTCATTTTTATTAAGCAGACGAATATTAGCATTGATGATAGCCTTTCTGATATCTTCCCTGTGATTGATAGAAAATGATTCGTATATTGAATTGATTATTTCAATTTTCTCAATATCGTATCTTGACAAAAGATCGATTTCCTTATACAAATTTTTCAATTCTTTCATGAAAAATCATCTCTTTTACAATTGCACGTATCATATTTTGAGAAAAAACTATGTATGTAAACAATAATTAATAAAATTACGAATATTATAAAGAGTTTTTTCATGTTATTATTTCTTGGTTGTTGTAAGATGATTCGCCATATATGTTTTACCATTTTTAACTATATGGTTTTTTGTGATTCGAAAATTTTTGATTCTTCAACATTTCAATATTGAACAGAACCCCCCATTTATAATCATTTGGAATTATACACTTATTAGAATATAATATATTGTATTACTATTACAAGTTAAAAATAACCATTCGATCAAAAGACTCTAATAGTGATGCATAAACTCTATTTCTTTGTTTAGCAATATCATTGTGAAAATAAATTTTCACATATATGTTTAATTAACCTTAGAAAACATTCTTGTGTAGAATTCTAAATTAATCTATTAACTTGAAAAGTTATTTATTTAGAATTCTATTTGTTGAAGTTTTAAATTTTTGTAAGCAAAAATTTTTTACACGTAATTAAATAAAGTATTTTATTAAATTTATTGATGCATATAGGATATATGCTAGTGGTAGTAAGATCATTAAAGTCTGATTAGTAGATGCCGAGAAACCGATTGTTAGACTAATGAAAACAAACTATTGTTTACGTAAAATGGCATTTTTGGCTATAGTAAAACTGTAAAACTGTAAAAATAACCGTTCGGTCAAAAGACCATATATAGACTTTAAAGTAATGCGTAATATTTCATTTCTTTGTTTCAGCAATATTTATCTTTATGTATAGAATTCCAAATTAAATTTATATTGAAAAGGTATAGTTAACCACTCGGAAATGCTCAAGAAGTCCTTGTTTTAAAATCATTTAAACGATTACGTGAAAGTCTTTTACAGTAAGTAAAGATATTAAACAAAGAAATGGAGCTAAAGTTCCTGAAAGGATTAGACCAAGTTAGTATAATTTAATTTATAAATGTAAACTAAGATATTACCAATAGCATTCTCAGGCACGAAAACCTTCGGATATATCTTTATACTAAAATTGTTAATTTGATTATTCTTACTGATCTTAGTATATTATTTCAATATACAGTCCTAATGAATCTCCAATTATGAGTTTTGTTCGGAGTAATATACTATATGATTCTTTGGACAAAATGAAAAATCTTACGGATATAAATGCTTTTGAATTTCTAAATTTATTATTTAAAATTCTTTTCGCAAAAAACTAAGGTTATAATCAGGATACGGAAAAATATTGATTTATATAAATCAATTTTTAGGCCAAATCATAGCAATAGGGAAATCGATAATTTTTGCAAATTTTGCTAAATTTAGGCAAAGTTAAGAGTATATAATTCTGGCCAGGTATTATAAATTCGGCGACACTATGTTGAACTATGATAATTTTATTTCAGAAGTTTGAAAGCTTTTTTTGAAAGCAATATACTAGTTGATTTATGGCATGTCTTTGTATTCTTGAAAGTTTTTCCCTTAAAGTTTTGTGGTAGATAATGGTTCGAATCTTTAGTGTTAATAATTTGATTGAAATATAATACCTTTATCATATAAAAAAAAGCAAAATACAATTATCTGATACCAGATATCAACTGAAATATATATACATACTTGTGATTATTACCCATCAAATTGATATTGAAAGTGAAATTTATAAAGCTCACCATTCTAGCTTACTTTTTAATTTTTTTAATAGTTAATTGCATTAAAGTCCTATGGTCACCAGAGGCCGTTGGACTTCAAATATTGTTTGCGGGAAAGAAATAACTTTTTTTACCTGATATTTAATTCTTTAGAGTATTGTCAACCTACATGTGTGTTTGTACATGGGTATTAATTTTTAAATTTTGTAATTGAAATTAAACCAATTTTTATAAAAATAAAATCTGATTAAGATTAGGGTTAGGGCGAGGCCTAGGATTTTAGCAAAGTATATAGATATACCAAAATTTGGCAAGGAATTTTGTTATTAAAACCTTAAAGGTAGTTTCTTAGACAAAATTTTGAGATATTTATCATATGTGTGTATATACAAATAGTAATTGCCAATTTTTAAATATCTTAAAATTTTATTATATAAACTAGTCTTGGGCTTCTAATTAAAAGTTTTCAGCTCTTAATTTTGTATATATATATGCATCTAACCCTAACCCAATACTAGCTCAAACCTTAACTCTAACTAATCCGAATTTTAATTTTTTTTTTAAATATTAACTTGTGATATCACAACCTGATATATTTAACAAAAATCTTTATTTAATCATAAATAATAGATATAAATAGTATTTAAAAATGTGAGGACTAAAATTTAACCTTTTTTTGAGTTTGTATAACTCACGAAAATAAATTTGATATTTGTGCAACAAAATTCTTGAAAAACTTTCAGAAGATTTTATAGAACTTCTTTATGAAGAAGAAGATTTTAATGTGACCATTAATGTTGGAAAATTATTCAATCAAAATATTTAAAACACATTTGGCTATTTTAAAACGTCGATTATTATATTTTGGTAATGAACTAGCAAAAATTAGCAAAGATGAAAATAATATTAGAACGATTAATTTAAATAATACTTCTATTCAACAATTTGATAAATGTTTTTGAATTGTATTCTTATACTGAATATTTTAACGTTCAATTTAAAGGTATATCTACAACGGTATGATTTCATTAGAAAATCTTGATACATTATCTATTTTTGAGCTAATATTTATTGCTTGTAAATTTCTACTTGAAGAATTAGCCAAATACCTTGAAATACATTTGATTGAAACAGGACCTAACTGGCTTCGTAGTCATTTTATTCATATTCTTCAAAAAAGTTTCAAAAATAATATTTTTCAAGGATTACAAAAATGGTGCAACAATTTTATGACAAATCACCCAAGTCAAGTTTTCAATTTTGACGATTTCACTTCACTTCTCAAAAACACATTTCTATCACTTATCAAATGAAATGATTTACAAATAGAAGAAATAAAAGTTTGGAATTCTATTATTAAGTGGGGAATCGCTCAAAAGCTTGACTTACCATCTGATTTTCTATCTTTTATTAGATATTTTCAAATTTCTGGTGATGATAATTATAACCAAGTATAGGTAATATTATCACTTCTGATATATCATATTTTATAAAATAAATTAAAAAGCTTATTAATAATATTAAATCTAATGAATGTTATTTTAAACTATATTTTTAAGATTATATATACTATAATATTAAGGGTAGAATACAATGTAGATCATTTCTATATATAATTAGTTGCAAAAAAAATTTATCGACTGGGGTATATCATGCTACAGGGGTGTCTACTATACACTTATATTAAATTTTTATTGAATAATCGACAAAATTCTTATATTACTTGACAGAATTTTTCTCTTCAAGCTGTAATGACTTTTTTTTAAGAAATATATTTTATTACTGCGCTTAACAAAAATGTTAGTTTTAGTCTTTTATTTTTTTAAACGGTGAAGTTGCAATTTATAGAGTGACTAGATTTTAAAGAATCTCGAATTGAAACTGGGCAACTAAAAGAATATTATACAAGCAATTTTTTAAATTTGTTACTAAACTTTTGCAATTTTTTTTTTGGACACAAAAAAAATCAAAGTATAGCGAAAATATCTAGTTTAATTAAAATAGCAAGCACAATAGAATCAACTCGTAAAAGAGAACCTAAGGCATAAAATTAATATTAGTTGACGAAATACTACTGTTATAATGAATAATCCAGCTGGCATTTATCATTACAGAGAGACTCTTTGTAATGATCCTGATAAGGACTTTGAGATTCTTGACTATGTTAGCATTGAATATAATTCTGAAAGTCTTGAACAACCAACACCTTCACTGTTGTCTAAATATAGTACAAGCAACACAGAAATTGATATAAATATATATGATAGTTCATATGATATACAATTTGATACATCAGCAATCGGGTTAGCTAAGGCATATGCCAATTCGTCATCAACAACAATACAAGAACAAGACAATGAAATAGATATAAATTGGTTGGCACAAGATCTTGATGTAACGTCTGATAGAGAATCATCATAGGATATGACCATTTGTCATAAAAATGAATTAACTCTAGAATTTAATTCTGGTGGTATTAAGTGGATGAATAGGACCTGTATTATAGTGGACGATTTAAATGAAACATTATAGCGATGCCATCATCTTGTGGAGAAACTATTGAAACAACTTGGAGGGATTTTGGAGCTGGATTTTGATGCGGTAGATAAAATTGTTATGAAATCAAAGGGTAATAGTTTAAATACACTAGAGGTTTGCAAAAGCCACTTTAATTATGATAACAAACAATTACATGAATTAGAGGTTGGAACCGGTTTTAATAATTCGAGTTTATCACGTGAATTTCGTGATATTTTGGAATATAATCCAATTAAATTTGAATAAATTCCAAAATATCACAAAATTCACGTGATAAACTCGAATTATTAAAACCGGTTCCAATCTCTAACATGAATATCATAAAACAGAAGTTTCTATCGATAGAGCAGAGATTTGTCAAAAAAGATATTTATTCTGTGGACACTATAAGTATGTATTTAGTCGTGGGTATTGTACAGAATATTCGTGGAAATTATGTGATCAGAACATACAAATAGTTTGCAATGGGTTGAAAGTTTGTTCTGTGTTTCAAGAGAATGAATTTACTAACAATCATCTAGTTCTAGACGTGCACGTTATATATATATGTTATGTTTTACATCTGAAGAAGACCATTTGTATGAGCAAAAAGGGTGGGTTCTGTTTCTCCATTTGACTGCACAGATCGTCATCATGATGATTCTGCAAAGTCACTTCAATTGATCACGAAATGGATAAATGAGATATCAGAGTCTGCTTACAGAGATATACAATGCCTTCTTCTTCATAAATTTTTAAAGGAGTAATTGTGTTTTTTGAAAAATTAAAATGTATCAAAAGGTCAAAAAATAATGATATTAGTGATGAAAAATTCAATAGTAATACAACTAAGAAAAACAAAGACCCTAAAGATACGAATTCACATCAAGAAAATCTATGGAAGAAAAGGAAACAATTTCGACATCACTAAGTTTTTTAGGAGTAAAAATCACTTTTAGATTGAAGAAAGTCAATGTTAGAAAGTTATCAAATAGTGAAATATATTGTGATGTAATTAAAAGAAATCCAAAACAAATGGGTGAGGCTTTGGCATTCAAGATCAGAAGTTCGTGCAAATAAGGAGAAATTAGTAATGCCTAATTCTTTAAAGAAATATCAAAATAGTTTTCCATTAATAATTTTAAAATTTTTTTATGGATTAATAGACATTATTCAAAAAAATAAATGGAAAGTTGTTTTAAGAAAATAGAAAGAAAGAAAAACTTTCGAAAAGAACTATGATAGAATGCGTGCCTAAAAAATTTTTATATTTTTTATCTCAGTATTACTATCAATTACGTTTCTGGGATTAAATATATGGTTTACCATATTCTCAGCTCACTTTGTCAAAAGCCCTACTTACACATATCTTTGTATTCAATATTGTGCGTAGTAAATATTGTTGCTCACACTAGTAGATATAAGAAACATTTGAAAAAACAACGCTGTGAACAAGTTGATATAAATAGTAAGTTATGGAAAGGAAATAATATATAGAATATTTGTATGGTCGATAATATTGATCTTCAGGAAAGTACGTTTAGCTATAACAATATCTTCGATATACCACGAAAAACAGCTCATGCTATACTCCGAATAGTAGCTCAATATCAACTTCCACAAAATATGTCAAGTCTTATAGAATCCTATAATTCGGGACTTTCCATTTTTCAAGTTGGACAGTCAGCATTTATTAACAATGAAATAAAAAAATTACAAAATATTTTTGATTTATTTGTTGAAAATAAATGGTTAAATTACAATGCCTTTGACATAAAATCTAAGTTGCGAAAAAATGTACCAATAGGTTGCAATATACTGAAGCCAAATATTGTAATTTTAAAACCTGGGGACAATCTATGCAATAATTTAAATGTTCATAAAGCAATAATGATATACTTTGATGATGTTAGCATTAGAAAGAATAATTTTTTAGATATATCTGCGGACTAGGCAATATTTCGTAGATTAGTACCATTACGCGAAAAAAGACCAGAAATTCAGTTATTACTTGGTGGATAGCATACAAACAAATGTATGTTAAGTACTTTACTAGCAATTTTTTCTGGATATGGTATATATCACTTAGTGGCTAGTTTGGGGTTTCTTTTCTTGAAAAGCTCGAGAAAGTTGTAGACTATATGGCTATATGCAGAGTTATTGAATTAATTTGGGTTGTGGTGGGTAGTGTGATTACAGCTTATGTAAAACACCATGGTAAAAGTATTGAAAACATTGAATCTGAAAATTATAGTATTTTAAGGTTTGGTA